AACAAGGCCTGCAGAGAATAGAGAAGCAGAAGGAGTTAGACTGCCTGAGCTACAAAGGGGTGACAGGTGCTGGCCACTCAGCCATGTGAGGAAAGAGACATCAGTGTCTCAGAAGGTGGCCTGGAACATACCTGAAAGAGCCACCAAGTCTCAGAGCACAGCCTATGTCATTCTTCCAAACTCTGTGAAGCAGTCCACTGAGCTGCCCTGTTTGCCCACTGCCTAAAGATGGCTGCCTGTGCTCTACATACTTGATAATGTATCACAGGCTACTAGAGTCTATAATAGGCCAAGGTTTAGTGAAAGACATTCTGAAAGTATAATTTTCCATTCTCCATTATTTGAGCAGCTTCAAGGAAAGACTATTACACTACCAATATAATGAAAATACATATTTGATGATAAAATTGATAACATATTACAACATATAGAATATCCTTGTGTCATAAGCAGTGGCAGTTAGTACTGATAATTTATTATAAGAAATTAAGATTCGAATAAGTTCAGAATGGATAAGAATTGCAGATTAAGCTCCATTGTCGATCATTCTCTCTGTATCATTAATAGATGTTATATTTTTTCTAACATTTTGGAATTGGTAGTGTAGTTATTTGAGACAGTCTTGCTTACAAAGAGCTTTCATTTAAAAGTCTAAACGTTTAACAAACTGCCACACTGTAGAGATTATACTTAAAATATTGTGAAAAAAAGATGAATGAGAAAGGCAACTCACTGGGTTACAACAACAGGGATTTATTCTCATGCTCACTGGTCTAAAGGTTGACTGTGCTTTGGCTGATTAGGGCTGGGCTCAGCTGAACAGCTCTGCTGCAGGCTGCTGGTACAGCTGGGTCTGGCTCCTCACTGCAGGTTGGGCCCAGATCTGCTCCATATGTGTCCATTCTCGGGTCCAGGCTAAGTGGGCATTAACTATATAGAGCATGTTCTCTCTCATAGCACATGATCAGAGCCCAAGAGGGCTGGCCCAACCACGTAAGTGCTTTTTAAGCTTCTGACTTACATCATGTCCACTAATTGGCCAATTCAAGTCACATGACTGAGCTCAAAGCCAGGGGCAGAGAAGCACATTCTGGCCATTATGAGGCCATGCAAGCATGTGGATGTATGATTCTATTATAGGTGAAGGACATACTGGGACAAAAACGGAATCTCCCACATTCCTCTTACTTTTATTTTTCTTCAAGCTTAATATTCCTCTTTCTTTCAATCATACCCCATAGGCCACAGCTTCTAGATCATTCACCATACTGACAATGTTTTTCTATACCAATCTTAGTTCTTCAGTATTTCTGTTAAATCGCAATGCTCAGAACTGAACATGATACTTCACATTTGATCTGACCCGTATTAATTTCTCCTAGTGAAAGGTTTAGTGACTAACAAGTTTAAAACCTTACCTAGATAAGAGTACTGCCAAGAAAATAGAATATAAATTAAATGGTTTGGGGAAGTTTTAAAAAAATATATAAGCTGTCCTTCTTACTGAGTACTAAAGACATTTTTCTTCTAAAGCATAAGGGAGGCAATTCAGAGAGATAAACCCAGATTCCACACAAATTAAAGAAATTATCCTCTCTCTAAATTCTGTTCTTTCATTTCAAGAACCAAATTCTCTACCCTTAGGCCACCTTACAGTTTATAAAGCACTTAAATATATATTCTCTAAATTAATTTCCTTTAATTCTTCACAGCTCTGAGCTAGGTATTATTTTTTCCCTTCCTGAAAGATGAGGAAATTGAGGGTTAGATCAAAGTCAAGTACTTCCTTTGCCCAGTGAACAATGTCTTTCTTACCTCTAGGCCTGGGGAAAACTCTTCCCTCTGCCTGAACATTCTTCCCTGACAACCCCCTTCCTTTGCCTGCCTAGATATTACTCATCCTGTAAGTCTCTACTAAAACAGTACTTCCTCCATAAGCTGTGCCTAGCTTTCATTTTTTCAATAAATATTTATGAGTCTGTCTAGAAACAAAGGACTCCACAAAGTGTTGGGGATACTGCAGTGAACGAGACAGACACAGTCCTTGCACTTATATGGCTTAGCAGCCAGCTGGAGAAAGGGACGTAAATAACTGCCCAATTGACCAATAAATTACAACTGCGGTAAATGCAACAAAGGAGAAGCACAATACCATCCAAGTGCGGGTTAGGGCTTGTCTTTTGTGCGCTCAATGCTCTGCCTCATCATAGCACTTATCACACTATACTGTAATTAGCTGTTTGTCTTTATTCCCCACCATGAGTAGAATGTATAGACATTAACTAGGCTGTATTTCCATAGCTCGGTATAACTCCTGTTGAATAAAAATACTTAACAATTGCTTGCGGAATAAGTGATGAAATGATCAAATAGACTTGTCCAAAATACAAAATTAATGAGCCAGGATAAGACTTGAACTCAGGACTCCAATTCCCATACTCTTGCCTCTATACAGCATTACCAAGAAATGGTAATGATTTTAATAAACGTTAATGCTAGCCTACTACACAACTACAAATAAAAAAGCACTTATACATACATATTCTTTATAAACTATGCCTACCTGTAACATGAAAACCTATGTACACACAGGTATCATATAGGGTATATCTTACACCAACATAGGTACACTAATTAGTAACCCCATAGTCCTTATTCTGATTATTACTTAGGCATTTGTATAGAACATGTTAAACTAGCACATAAACTTATAGATTTAACTGAAAAATTAAAATGAGCTCACGCCTAAATAAATGGTAACAACATCAGTTATAAATAATATATATAACACAAATATATACAAAATTTGGGGTTATTTTTAAATGCAATAAAAAGTAATTTCTTAAACGTACAATTCAAAGTTTATGCTCCAAAGAATGATGTTATAACAAATAAGAAACTCTTGCATATGATAAAGTAACAGCTGCTCTTTCACTCTATAGGTAGATATTCACAGCACCGTCAGCCTGCCATCCTAACTTAGCTAAAAACATTAAAATATTTTATTTTCTTTGAATTTTCCCTTGAATTTAAAGAAATTACAAATATAATCCCCAAATCACTAGCACATCTTTCTTTTACTTTCTTCCACATGAATCATTTTAAGCTCGTCTTATGAAAACTGCCTGGCTCACCAAAGAGAATTAGCACCATCTAGTGAAAGAAGCTGGCAGAAAAATACGCTCCATTAGGAAGATGCTACTTGAGAACCAAAAGAAAATTGCTTATGTAGCAGTATAATAGACCGATTTAAGAAAATATAGAAAAATGTAGCAGTAATATCCCTTCCTGATTATGTCTTGTTAACTTATATCAGACTCTAACAGACTTTAACTATTAATATAACATTTGTTCTAAAAACCTAACACTTGGTATTACAATCATTAAAAAAACTTGCCAGAAATATTCTAATTATGGAATGTTTAAAAGGAAGATAATTTGCTATGTTGGAGGCACCACTAAATAAGTATGACCCATTAACACACTTTCCCATCCTCTAACTTGCAGCCAGATGTAAAGGGCCTTGACTCTATCCTGTATACCTTGGAAAGCCATTACACATTTTTGTACAGGGAATATTAGTTTGGTGGCTGCATACATAATGGATTCACATGGAAAGTGTGTTGAGGAAAGACTAACCAGCTGGGGATTGAAGGCAGTAATCTGGACAAGAGATGCTGAGGCCTGAACCGAAATAGTGAACAAAAGTCCATTGGGTTTGGGGATCACTACAACATGCAGGAGGTCTCTGAACTACTGCAGCAATTTTTTTTTAATTTAGTCATACCTCCCTTATATCTTTTCTATTATTACCTCAAACTGTACTGAAATGCTTATTCACTTTTTCTTATCTTATTCCCCCTACTAGAGGGCAAGCTCCTTGAGGACAGAAATTACTTTTAGGTGTTAAATACATAATGATTTAATTAAAAGAATATGTGCATGGGGTCACTTATTTCAATGATATAACTTGTGGAGATAACAAAAAATACACTGGGGTTTTGTAAAACTGTTGTTTAAAAGATTCTTCTTGTGGAATTTATGAGAAATTTTACGTTAATTACATACATTATCAACCCTGAAATGTGTGTGATCATCACTTCATGATGACAATTTTTATATGATGGATGAAAAAGCAGTCTGAAATGAATTGGTCCTTTTATACTGTATCTTTGGATAAAAAGGTCAACTCATTTATTATCATTGTTTCCTCAATTTCTTTTTGTTAAAGAATAAAGTACGATTTATTTTTAAATGTTCAAAAGTAAGAAAACTAAATATTAATTTTTTTCAGATACATACATGAAGGTAAAACTTCTATGTTTTACCTTCAAAACAAGTAACATATTAACATTAACTTTCAAACCTGGTTAACCTAGGGAATTAATAACACAAAATCAGGGCAACCGTTACCTGTAAGGGAGGAGTGATGAGGAACAAGGGGCACTAAGTTCCTGCAAATGTTCCAGTTCTTAAGGAATAGGGTAGATGGGTTGTTATTCTTTAAATGATACACATATATTTAAATATACATTTTTAGATGTATGACACTACTTCACATTAAACAAGAACCATTTTTTTCCTCTCATTTTCAAGATTAAATTATAATGCCTATCCCAAAAAGGGGCCAAGATGACAAATTAATTAAAGATTAGGGCTTATACTGAAGATAAATATAAACTAATAAAAACCTATACTAATAAAAACTAATAAAAACAGCCTATAAAATTCACTTCTAATACATCAAGTATACAGCAGCATTGTTAGTATAGTAAAATAAAAATAAATTTTATGCAAGCTAAATTCTACTCTAAAATCCTAAAATACTCCAAGCAAATTTTTATTTTCCTAGGTCCCTTACTTCGTGGTGTCTAACAGTATTTTGCTTTTAAAAGGTATAACATAAATTTCTATTCACTTGAATTCCTAAGCTAGAGAACTCTAATAAGGATGTTCATTTAGACCAGAAGGCTGAACATTCACAGCTAGCAGGCACGTACCTGAATTTAGGAAGAACTGGGGAGAGTCTCCATGAATGCCCACCGTGCCTGGCCCCAAGGAGTCAGACAAGGTATTTACAAAGGAAAATACTCCACTCATGATTCCAAAGCCCAAGCCAGAAACTGAAGAGGAAGAAAAACACTGTTAAGCCCTTTATATGCTATGATTTCTCTTCAAATCAAATTTCCAAGGTCTAGAGAATACTATTTTGTTGAAGGGGAAAGGGTGTACATGCTGTTGGAGAAGCAGTGGAGAGCTGGCTCAGAAAAGGCAAGTGCTTGGCTAAATGATGAATTGAGAGAGAACAGGGGAAGAGGAAAGGAAATGAATAGCGGAACATAGCAGAGAAATGAAAAAGATCTAGAAAGGCACAGAAGCAATAGGCGAGACAGGAGGATACAACGCTGAAGTTCTGGCTTTAGTTTATGGTAAGAGTCTGTAGAATTAAGTTTGCTGGCTTAGAACCAGAACTGAGACTGTGTATGATAAGGAGTGATCCCTGGGCCAAACTGGGGTGACTCAACTTAGGGACCTAGATCCAATCTTTAAAACATAATTCTGAAAGAAAAATATACAGAAGTATTAACTGTATTAACATGAAGAGTCTTCCCATTACGGCCAAAGTCATGGTAACCACCCAGAGAAGGTAACAGTAATACCACTTAGAAATTGTCAATTAACTAGAGTGTATCCATGTTAAAAACCTAACTTTCAAACCTGGTTAATATTTAGTGGACACACAGATAAGGGTCACCTGCAATCACTTGCCTTTACATAAGGGCCCTGGAAAGCTGGAAAAATAAACAATGTACACCAATAGGCCAAGGCAGTAATAAAATACTATTTGAAATCTACAAAGACGTAAAAGATAAAAATGGCTTTTATGTCAAGTCTAATCTTTTTTCTTAAAGATATCATGCAGTTCTAACCTACCATAGGCCAGCAGTCGCATAGACGGTGCTGTCTCATCTGCGTTTATATTCTTCAAACCTTCATTGGCTTTTCTAAAATAAAACCACACAGATAATTTTTTTAAAGAAAAAGTAGTATATCAGGAAAACACAAGATATTTCAAAATCCAGATATTTACTGAGGCTTTTGATCAGGTTATACTCTAAATCTAAAATCCATTTAAACAAAACCAAGCAAATTTTCAATTAACCAAAATCAACCAAAATTTCCAACCAACTTTTGCCTTTTATCTGACTTTCACAGAGAGGGGAAAAAAATAAGAAAAATATAAGTAAACAAGCCCTCAGGCATTGAGTTTAATAAGAAAAAAAGCAACACTTCTGACTACTTTCTGAGCTCAGTAAATATTTAATTCAATATCAAATGGCATCTACCACTCTGAATTTTTCCTCTTCCCAAAGTACTATATCTTCAATCCCACTTTGTTGGTACTTTATCTTTTGCCTGAGTTATACTTATTCTGCCACCCTCCCATCTATCTACCTCCCACTCCACAGAACCTAAATTATACTCTTCCTTCAAAGTCTAGTTCAGGCAGCAATTTCTCAAAGAAGCCACCTTTACCAAGGATTGGTAATCACTAATCTCTCCTTACTCTTAAATCCTATAATACTGATGGTCTGGTCTCTCACATGGGTACTTAATCATATGGTCTTCTGATTCTAAAATACTGTACATATTTGTTTCATATCCCCAATCATGCTTCAGGGGAGAACAAAATGCTACCTTCAGAAAAGGAGATAAATGAATACCTGAATGAAACATTAGAATACTGCTCAATAAGAAACGATCTTCAGAATGATCATATCCATGCTTCCGTGTGGACAATTCACAAACTTACCATGAGTCCCTGCCCACCGTGCAGATGTGTTAGGAATGCAAGCTGTGGCTAGTTGGTTCCACTAGTGTCACTATTACTAACCCTTGTTGGCTAGAAGCTCAGCAACAATGATCTTGACTCAAAGGATATTTAAATTATATTTATATAAAGTGTATTTATTAAAGCAATAAAGGAATCAAATATTTTAGAATGATTTTTCAGCAAGTGCTGAAACAAAAATGAGTTAGCTTAACTCTAAGAGTAAAAAATTAAATTAACCACGCACACTTATGAGCATTGTGTTAATTCAAGGTATGCATATTAATTATAGTTGGCCTATTCGTTACATAAATATAAATATCATTGATTACATTAAGTTAAGGCAACGCAGAATTCAACCAAAATAGGAATAAGTATAATGAAAAGGTCTCTTGCTTTTCTAGATTCAAAAGAAACAATTTGCCATTTCAGTGCGCTCCATCATTTGGTAGCATCATTGGAAGCATCATTTGGTAGCAAGGACATGAGCCAAAACTTGAGTGACCGTCATCTTTCTTTGGAGCAGTCACCAAATAAAATCTCCAATTTTCCTAAATAAACTTACCTGTCACAGGAATGTTGTTAAAGGCTAATTAAAGCTTAGAGACATATATAACAGTAATAATCCATCAACAAATGGATATAATGGTATAATAGAATCAATAAATTTTGGAGGATTTCTGTTTTATATAAATTGCTCAGTAATGAATAAAAGATTTTTGCTATTTGGTATAGCAAAGTACTGCTATCACAAATATATTAAATAAATTCAAAAGTTTAACAAACTTCCTCATTCTGTGTTGCAAGTTTGTGGGAGGAAAGGTCTATGGCACTAACAGTTCACAATGCTAACCTTAGGAAGTGAAAAAGTACAAAACACCATTAGTTTCTGCGTTCCTGACGGACAGAACACACAACTGATGATGTAAGGGACAGTTTTTAATTTGACCATTTTACTGAAGCGGAAAATTCTTTGCATCTTTTATTGTTTCCAAGAACAAAAAGAAAAAGCCCAACTTTTTAAATATACACTTTGAAAAACTATGGATAAATCAGACTGTCTTTCTTGTTTGTTCTGATTCTTTTTCGTATGTGTAGTGAGGGACAGTACCAAAAAATATGCATATAAATTAAATACCATTTTAGAAATTTTAAAAAACAGACTTATGCCTTTTAAGAAACTGCAATGATTATCTTAACATTTTTTTCTATAAATGGAAAATTTTCTAAAATTACCAAATATTTATGGTATCAGCATTATAAGACAAAATTGAATTAAATTATAAAAGCTTCAATCCAAACCAAAACAATTCTAATGTATGGTTTAGATAAGGTACAAAACCATAACTTGGATTTTTTAAAATTAATGTAGAAAGGGCTATCACTTGTGGCCACCTGCCAATTTCTCATGTGCAACTCTTTGCTAAGCTGAAAGTTACAATTTATTTAGTCACTCCTTCATTCGAGATGAAGTACTGTTCCTAAGGCCTGACCCATGAAATAAATTTATATTAGACTGCAATGATAAATATTTTGATTCAATTCCATATATGTAAAAAAAAAAAAAAAACTGGTACAAACTCTCCACATTTTAATCTGGCACCAAATTCAGATAGCAAAGATTTGATTAAGGCAGTACTTTAAAGTTCAAAATTTACTTTGGCAGTAGAGATAGTTAAAATATTGATTAAACCCAAGTTCCTATATTTGAATGTAGTGTAGCATAAGAGAACAACTTAAATGTATCTATATACATGTTAGTCAGGAATAAAGTACCATAATAATTCTCAAACTTGTTTTAACACATAACTATATAACATCCAACATTTCTGAATTTTGCTAGGAAAATATTGTACAATATTTCAAAAGCTTGTTAAAGATGCATTTTGCAAAGGCAAACAAAGGCACCTGTTAATACAGGTTTGTCCTACTACCTGTTTGCAAATTTCCAAAGGTCCTTTCAGAGGAGCATATGTGGTTTCCCCAGAACACCAAAGAGGCTTCTCTGAACTTGCTGGCACGAGAGCCTGCAAACTGACAGCCATAATTCCTTCTGCATGTGGCCCTACTCCCTCACTGCCCTCATTAAAAATGGCAACCCATGTTCAGCTTGTAGTCCTTTGCAACCATAGGTTAGTGCCAATAAAGGGATGCATTTCAGGTGGAAACTCTGAAGAAACAAGGTAGTGAAGAACAGCAGATACTCATTTAGCCACTCAGGTAAGTCAGGTTTTAGAACCTAAAGTGCTAAGGGGTGACTAAACCCATGTCCTAAACTGTGAAAATCTATTCGAAATTAAGTTTGTTTCAAAATTAGAACCATCATACGTGAGAATGCAAAACCAACGTGAGCCAATGATGTTGCTGACAGGAAAACCCAGTGCAACCTGAGGCTGAGCTGTTAAGAGAACAGGGCCCAGTCAAGGGTGAGAAGGGCTGCTGCTCTCCGCACTACTTTGACCACAGCAGAGTACTGTGCTGGGTCCTGAGCACAAGTAAACCCCAGGCACTGACAAAAAGGGCTGTATCTACTAACATAAAAGAACTGAGACAAGAAAAGCTTTGGAAGCCACATCTAGGTCTTCTGAGGGCCAGGTGAAGAAATGAGGAATGTTTAGCCTTGAAAGAAACAAGATGACAACCACGTGACAGAGATTTCATTTGCCCGTGTGGAGCCGAGGTCAGAAAGAGGGAGATTTTGATTAATCTATTCTACAATTAAAATTAAATTTTGGAATGGTAGTAACTGCTGCATACCAGAAACATTCACCCACAGTTGAATGTCCATCTGTTAAGGATACTGTATTCCCACGGAAACTTAACATTATCTTCGATATTTGTTGCTCTTTAATATTTCTAGGAACTAATAGAAAAGGTTTAAAAATGAAATTTCCAACATATGACTTTTGCTTCTAAGCAAGGGCTTCCTGGTTTTCTATTTGTAATTTAAATTGCTTCATTATTAAATTTCATTATCTTTCATTAAAAGCAACAAGTAAAAAATACAGAAGGCCTAGCATATTAGCAAGAACAAATTATCAGAAGCCTATTATAAGAGATGTTGTTGAGATTCTGTCTTGGGTACATCCATGAAATTCCTGGAGTGCCTTAATTATCTCATTTGCAGAAATGAAAAGAGATAGCACATTTATCACTCTACTAAGTCTTACTACATAATCAAAGCCAACCTCATGACTGCCTGAAAGAAAATATGGTTCCAAGTTCAAGCTGTGTTTCAAATCAGTGGTTTCATGTGAGGTCCTCATGGTTCCTACAGATGACCTACTTTCTGGCCTAAAAAGGGAACTTGTCCCCACAGCTTTTTTTTAAATGTATTTTTCTGTTATAGATAGGGAAAATCACAAAATGAACCCGTTTTCCCCTAATACAGTCAAAATAATGGTAGACATAATCTCCATAATAATTATTTATTTTAGGTGGTGGCAAGATAAGCACATACAAACGCTAAGCTAGAATGGTGGTGGTGGTTGTTTCAATGACTTTCTCTAGCTTATCTTTCTCCACGGCACTTATTATCTCCTAATATACAAAGCATTTTCTTGTTCATTCATTTGTTATCTATCTCTTTCTCCTATAATATAACTTCCATGAGGACATAGATTTTAATCATGATGTATCCCCAGTGCCTAGGATAGTGCCTGGTATTGAGTAAATTCTCAAGAAATTTTTTTGAATGAGTGAAGGCAGGCAGGAACGTCCACACGTTAAAATACTCAATATTTTCAGGCTGGAAATGTACAATCTCTTGGCTTTGAACTAGGTAGGAAGGGATGGACCCTCAAATACCACACTATTTTAATGTTTCAAACTACTAAATCACAATTCAAATGTAATTGGGAAAAAAAGGTAAAGCAAACATTTAACTTACTTTAAAAGTTTATAATATGCAAACCGGAACATTTCTTGGATAAAGACTGAGACTAACACCCCAAAGATCAGCAGGTATTTCTGTGTTGGTCCATCTTTGTCACCAGTAATGGTTCCTGCTATGAACCAAACAAGGGAGGAAAGGAGTAGAGACACCAACCAAAAGAAAGCTCTGAAAATTAGGAAAAAAAGAAAAGGTTACAAGTGAATAGGATTAATAATGATTTAAAAGCAAAAAAAAAAAAAAAAAAAAAAACCCTGCTTGAGATGAACAGTTCCTGACTCTTTAATAAGGAAACAAAAGATCCTCATAAAGTGATGTTCTGGATCAACTGTTCTTAATCAATGGTGCATTTTCCCTAGTGAGATGAACACGCAGTCCAAGAGGAATTTGAGATTCTTCCTAACATCACTCTTTTTCACTCACCCTGCTATTTGTAAGTACATCTGCAGACTACCCGCCAAGGACTATCTAGCTGGAAACTTGGTTATTTGCTACTCCTCCTAATTAAGTTTTGCCCATTGATGTGCAAATAGAAGTGTCTTTTCTAGAAAAATGCCTACATCTCTATGATCAGAGTGATTGGTATAAAATCCAGAGGTTGAAAACCTGTGCTCTGATCTAGATTAGTTTTCCAGGCCTGGTTTTTACAACATTCCTGTGGATTTTAACGATTACAACAAGCTTTACAAACCTTTTGCCCAAATCTCCGTTGTTTTTAAAATGACACAGGTGATGCAGCACTTTCAATACAGCGGTGAGAGGTGAAGAACCTCAGAAAAAGTGGGAATCGCTGGCATAGACTCAAGGGTGGTGGGGAGCCCCAGTAGGAGCTGCCAGACAGGTGAAAACTAGGATTATGACCACAATCACCACCAGAGTTCAGTATTTACCAAGCTCCCGCAAGGAGATGCACTGACAGGTGCTTCGGTGTTTTCACAGGTTTCCACCCTTTGGCGGCACACCTGAATCATCCGGGGAGCTTCAAAAAATCTCTAGCCCGAATTCCACCCCCTAGACATTCCGATTCATTTGAGCTGGGGTAGGAGTTGGGCATCGGTAGGTTTTCAAGCACCTGATCCCCAGGTGCGAATGGCTCTTAACCCCTTTGGGATTACAGACGCCTGTGAGAATCTGAGGGAAACAGATCTGAGGGACCCCCTCTCCAGAAAAATACAAGATGCATATTTGAACTTATCCACAATTTTTTCATACAATTTTAATGGCTTCACGACTCACTAAAGCCCACCCACGGACCCTAGGCAAAAACTCAGCAGCCAAGCATTAGGGTTTTCTGAGACCCACAGGGTCAGCTCCCTCCCCAGAGCCTGCCCTCTGGGGTCGCGTGACTCTCGTTTTTTTCCCGCCGACCCTGGGAGTCCCAGAGAGCGGGATCTCGGCTCTCTCTCTCTCAACCCTTCTCCCCTCCAAAGCCCAACAAGGTCCAGCCGTTTGGTGGGGACGCCGGTACCCTGGGTGCGGAGGGGGAGTCAACGGGTCCGAGATTCCCGGCGCAACTGCCTCACCCGATGATGAGGAAGATGACGCGCAACGGCTCGGTGGCGATGGTGAAGATGTAGAGCGCGAGCGCAGGCCCAAAAGCAATGAAAGCGCAACCGAAGAACACGGCCGCCGTCATGGCGACCGCAGAAGGCGGCCCGGGGGCCTGGCGGGAACGCGAGGTGTGCGGTGCGCTGACAGAGCTGAACGCGGGGCG